AGAATATAAGACAATCATCCATCACGTGAAGAGGTAACTATGTTTTTTATTCTATTTTATTCATTAGATTTCTAATTTTTAAATTTTATATTTTTAATTTTATTAGTTATTCTTTTGCTATTGAAATATTTCTGAATAATTTCTATTCTGAATAATTAATATTATAATTTTATAAAAAAAATATATGATATAATATATTTTATATTTTATTTAAGGTGCTGATAGCTTTGTCTTCTCTTGGCCTTCATCAGTTTTAAAAAACATTTGTGACTGCGTGCAATGCAGTTCATAGAATCAGTGTTTATTTCGTAATAGTATTTTAAGTATTTTTTTAGAACACAACTGTTCTAATAGAATTATAACAACTATTCGTGAAAATAGAGTCAGTGTTTGCTCGCTCATTGTAATTTAAGCAATCGCATCAATGATTTTTTATTTTATTTTTTTTTTCTTTTTTCCTTTTTATATTCGTCTCGCGTATATATTAGAATCAGTGATTCAAGAGCATAAGATGATCATCCATCACGCGAAGACGTAATTATTTTTTTTAATTTCACTTTTTTTAAATAATTTTTATATATATATATTTAATATCATAAATTACAATGTTCTATTTTTTATTACAGTTTCCACTTCCTATTATTCAATAATGACTTCCCATGGATCAGCACCAATGCAGATTTTTCGCATCTTTGGTGAGTCGCATGCATTTTGATTCCTCCGGTCATTCAATCATGTCGTAGGATGAAAGATCCGAATCGACACGGATGACTGGTTGTATACGTAGAATTTTGCACGAGCACAGTGACCACGGGTATTTATTATACTCGTGAGTAGTGACATTTCTTTTTTTTCGTTTTATTTATTAGTTCAGGCTAGGTCTTCTTGTACATCGCGTTTTTTAATTGTTAATAACTTTCCAAATTAATTATCTCTAAAGTTAAATTATTATAACTGTAAAATATTCATTATGGATATTTGCAAACATAAAGTATCTAAACATATGAATATTCGTGTATGAATTAGATTCGATTAAACAAAATATCATATTTAATATCGATTTTCAAGTAATTATAATAAGAGATAAAAGAAAATAAAATTTTATCGCTCTCTTTCGTTTGAAATTATTAAATATTATATGCAAGAAGACATTTCGCGACAGGTAGACTTTGAAATCAAAGCTATAAGTTTTGAATATTTCTTTCATATTTTAAAATGTGCTTTGATGAAGGAGTCGCCTGAAGGTATTTTCATTAATATTTAATTTTCAATTAATTAATTCATTGAAGTTTAATCTCTTATAAATATATATATTCCTTTCTATTCAGTAATTCTTTTTATAAAATATTAGAATAAATAATAGATGATTTATTACATTGACAAAGAATAAAATAGAAAATAGAGTCATTCAAATGTTAAATAAAATAAGAATACAAATGATCAAAGTTCATTAGCTCGTTAATATTTATACTAATATATCTTTTTAGCTCAGGATTTTCAGGTTTAACCCCTTCCCTGTTCGTTGCCAGGATCTCACTCACGTGCCCAGGTGTTACTTGGGTGAGAGAGAGGCGATGAGCATGATGATCCTAGTTTATAAGTTTATAACAATTTCTCAGCGATTGACGATGAGTTAGTATATCGTGCGCGACGTATTTTCCACATTGTGCGTGTGTGGATAGGCTGTGGGATTGCGTCGTTTTATTAATTCAATTACAATATATATATATGATAGCAATATTACATCCACTGTATATTAAAAATAATACCATAAAACTAATAACTATTAATCTTATTATCAAATTATAATAATAATAATATTTTATTTCAATCTTATTCCAATACGATCCGAATGATACGAATATTCATAATTAAAATCAAATAAAATTATATATATATATATAAAATTTTATTTCACGCAATGATTACTAGCCATCGACAGTCGATTTCAGGAAAATGGTACGTAAAGTTAGAGTATGCGAGTAGTATGCCAAGCTCGGGT